GATGGTAACATTTAGGGAACTTGCTAGAGTAGAAGTATCTTTATTACGAGCAATACTGGAGCTGGTACTGTTTTTAACTTGTCTGTCTGTCTATGTGTGGCTGAGTAAAATGTGCTTGTGGAGAAATTTACTGTTGAGGAAATTACCAGATATTAAATACTTCATTTCAAACACTGACATGACAATAGAAACTCTGATTTTGAAGGGGCAAGGTCTTACTTATATTACCAAATAGTCATGAATAAATGTTGTACTTGTATCAGTATGTCTGTGAAAAATTCTCAAGGATTCAGGTCACGGCAGGTTTGAGTGTTTGTAAAGAAGGCAGCTGGACTTCTTTTTGGTTCATGAAGAAGTTTTACCTCTTGTACAAGAGGCTTCTTTAGCTCTGTGAAATACATACACTTTAAGAAACACTGAAAACATGTGATTCTCCAAACCATCATTAAATCAGAAGAGAAAAAATATGCTCCTCTCTTTGAAGTCACAGTTATATATAAAGAAGTCCAGACGCTTTTCTTTGCAAGCTCCTTTGACTACGATGACCTGGATGACTGAGAACCTTCACAGACAGTTATATATAATGTTTTTAAAAGAGATCTGAAGTCTGCTGATTATCTACTTTTTCTATCTATTTATCTATTTAAAAGATTATTATTGCTATTACTACATGAAGTACCTTTGAAATATGGCAATGACAGACTTTAAAAACAACTTTACAACTTTAAAAAGTTGGAAAGTCGTATTCTGTAACAGCAATGTGAGGCCACTTTTCCACAAAAGCCCTCATAGGTATTAATGTTTTTTGATGATATTGTTTTTACACATTTAACAGCTGTAACTCTATCGGTTGTAAAGCGGACATAAGTTAGGATCTGAACATTTCAATTCATGCATTGAGATTTCAAACCACACAAAAAGAAAAAAGAAGGCTAAACTGAAGCAATAAATAAGTTGTGCAACAATACTGCAGTAATGTTGCTGTGTTAGCAGACCATCCACTAGATGTCACACTGAGACTAGTAATTGCATCAATACTGTTAACAATAACATAGCAGCTGTGAATTTGTCAAAAAAAAAAACAGAAAGTAAATTTATGCAGGAGCGTTAATATCCCAGGAAAGATGTTTATTCTTGCTTTGATTAGCAGACATGCTCACAAATTCAAAAACCTTGGTATTTACATTTGCTGTAATCACAAACTTACAAATAAATGTTGTGGCTGGTTTATATTTTTTCTGTGCTCAGCAGAACAGAGTGCATTTCACACATTTCTGTTGGTGCTAAGCTTGAGGTATTCAAGAAACTCAGACCACTATAAACAAACGTATGGGTATGTTTTTGTTTTTTGTTTTGTTTCTTTTACCAAAACCTAATATCTATCTGTATTTTATTACACACCTCTTCTGTCTCACAGATACGTAGAAAAAAAAAGTAGATTTTCAGTATTTTGCTTGACTAAATATTTACGTAGCAGGTTTTCTAATCACTTGCATCACTTGATGGACTCCATCTTTCAGCCCACTCACAGTCCAGCAGCCTGGATTAAAATGGTCTTCCACTACATACACACCCAGGACCTCAGTCAACTGCTTTAAGTGGTTCACATCATCTTGAGTGAGGCGTGCAAGTTCATCCTGCCTGAAGATTTGCGTAGTGCACTCAGCCTGATACAGACTCTTGAGATTTGCAATGGCATTGTCAACATTTTTTCTGCATAGTCCGACAATCATGAAGGTGTAATGTTGAACTCTGGAGCTGGTAGAAAGGCTGCTTGGGTCTATGTTCATAACTGGGGTGGCTTGTGCAACAACTGTGAAACAGATGATTTATAATCAGTCACAAACAGCTCAAAAATGAAAAAGGTGCCTCATGAGGAAGAGGAACAGCTGTTACCTGTGTTGATAACAGCAGATGGAAACATCTGCATTGCTCGCTTTTTAAATGCCAGGAAAACACTGAACTTGTTGAGGACAAGGCGAATGTTGATGAGACACTGGAGAGGATGGAAAGATGCACCAGTCTTAACCCCTTGGAGGATGGCATATGCAACGTGGTTGGGGTCCAAACCACCAGATCCTGGACAGCCATTCAAATAAAACATTTATATGTTTTCTGTTCACTTATGCATCTTTAATGTCTTGCCCACTACTCACCAGCACAGATGGCAGGAATGGCCACGGACCTGTATCCAGAAGACTCACAAGTTTGAATGATAGAAAGCAGCTGTTTCTCAATGAGACTCACATTTTTTTCTCCACACACGTGTAAAATAGCTTTACATGGGAACCCTCCAGGTGAGGTTTTTAAAATGTCTCCCTTCTTTACTTTTGCTACACGGACACAACAAAAACATGATTAAGATGCTGCAAACTGTGTGCCAGAAATATATTGCAATTTTAAATGTGTATCTTCAGCCATTCTTCTCACCATTTCTGAGTTCAGCCTCAACCTGAGGTCCAGCCATAGTTAAGATTTTTTGGCATACGCCACCTGTAGATCAATAATAATAACTTTTACATTTTTTTTTACTACTTTCTACATTGTAGATACATACTGAAGATATCAAATATATGAAGCAAGATATGTGGAATTATGTAGCAAAGAAAACATTGATGAAATAACTCATAAAAATCATATCTTATATTTTAGATTCCTCAAAGTAGCTACTCTTTGCTTTGTTGACAGCGCTGCAAAGCAAGAAACACAAGGAATGGACATTAGACCAAAGGAAATCTGTGCTTTTGTCTGATGAGTCCAAATTTGAGATCTTTGGTTCCACCTGCTGTGTCTTTGTGTGACTCAGAAAAGGTGAAATGATGGTTTCTACATGCATGGTTCCTACCATGAAGCGTGGAGAAGGAGGTGTAACGCTGTGGGGGTGCTTTGATGGTGACACTGTTAGGGATTTATTTAAAAACTGAAGGCACACTGAACCAACATGGCTACCACAGCATCCTGCAGCGACATGCCATGCCATCTGGTTACACACCTCAAGGCTGTGTAAGTGATATCTGACCAAGAAGGAAAATGATGGAGTGCTGCTGCAGATGGCCTGGCCTCCACAGTCACCTGACATAAACCCAATCAAGTTGGTTTGAGATCAGATGGACCGCAGAGTGAGGGGGGGGGGAGTCATCAAGTTCCCAGCATCTCTGGGAACTCCTTTAAGACTGATTAAAAACCATCTTAGGTGACTACCTTATGAAGCCCATCGACAGAATGCCAAGAGTGTGCAAAGCAGTAATCAAAGCAAGGGGTGGCTATTTTGAAGAATCTAAAATATAAAACATGTTTTGAGTTATTTCACCATGTTTTTACTGCATAATCCCATGTATTCATTCATAGTTTTGATTCCTTCGGTGAGAATCTACAGTATAAATAGTCATAAAAATAAAGATAAACCATTAAATGAGTAGGTGTGTCCAAACTTTTGACTGGTACCAACTGTGGAATGGAGCAATCTTCTGCCACCTTCTCTACATGGATGATATCAAGGTTCATGCCAAAATTGAATGGGACATCGATTCACTGATCCACACCACCAGGATATACAGCAATGACATCAGAATGTCATTCGGGCCTCAGAAGTGTAGTCGGATGGTAACAAAGAGAAGGAAGGAAGTCAGAACGGAGGGGATCGCACTACCAGAAGTAAACATTGAAGACATTGAGGACAGCTACAAGTACTTGGGAATCCCACAGGCAAATGGGAACCACAAAGAGGCCGATAGGAAAGCTGCAACTGCCAAGAAAAGCAAGTCCTGAGGAATCAGCTGAATGGCAAGAACAAGATCCCGATTATCAAAACCTATACCCTGCCCTGCTGGGATAATAAGCTAGCCTATGGAGGACATAGAAGCCTCTGGAAGGAAGGAAGGCAGGAGGGAGAAGGCCAGGGACTAGTTGTTGTCAGAACCATGGTCCAGGATGAGACAAGAAACTTCCATGAGTACATCAGGAAGATGGCCCCAACTGACTGTGTGCTCAGTGAATACCTCAAGCAGTAGAAACTCAAGAATGAGGAGCAAGGAAAGGAGGCATCATGGAAGGACAAGCCCCTGCACGGTATGTAGCACCAGCAGATAGAGGAAATAGCTGAAATCCAGAATTCCTACCAATGGCTAGATAAAGCTTGACTAAAAGATAGCACAGAGGCACTAATCATGGCAGCACAGGAACAAGTACATAAGGAATAAGGAATAAGGAATCCAGGCTAAGGAATAAGTACAGGAATTAGTATAAGATCCATAGAGGCTGGGGTCTACCACATCAGGCAAAACCCCAGGTGCAGGCTGTGTAAAAATGCCCCTGAGACAATCAAACACATAACAGCAGGATGCAAGATACTAGCAGGCAGGGCATACATGGAACACCATAACCAAATGTCCGGCATAGTATACAGAAACATCTGTGGCGAATATGGCCTGGAAGTCCTGAGGTCAAAATGGAAGACTCCCCATAGGGGGTTGAGAATGACTGTGCTAAGATCCTGTGGGACTTCCAGATACAGATGGACAAACTGGAAATGGCAAACCAACTGGACATAGTGGTGGTGGACAAGGAGTGGAAGATGGCCATCTTCCTCCACGTAGCAACACAACATCAGGAAGAAGGAACACGAAAAGCTGAAGAAGTTCCAAGAAATAAAGAAGATGTGGAGGGTACACGTAACAGTGGTCCCAGTGGTAAACAGAGCACTCGGTGCAGTGGCCCCCAAGCTAGGTGAGTGGCTCCAGCAGATCCAAGGAACAACATCCGAGATCTCTTTCCAGAAGAGCGCAGTCCTAGGAGCAGCAAAGTTGCTACACAGGACCCTCAAGTTCTCAGGCCTCTGGTAAAGTACCCAAGCATGAAGGATAAAGACCACCAACAGGGGCTAGAGGGGATTTTCTTTTCAAAGTATGTATAAAACCTAATTTGCCCTAAACATCTTACAGGTCAATGGAAATGTATTAGGTTTAGAGTTGTTTTTATTTTAGCCATGTGCTAAATGCATTTAACAAACTGGAAAGTGATAAATCTGAAATTAAGCCTCACTTGTTTTGGCATTAAAGTTGGTATTATCTGTTAAAGGCTTTCTTATTTTAAATAAATTTTGAAATTCTATCAAAAGGGGAGAGCCAGCAGAACCCAAAATGTATCTCTATTTTTCACCCTAGATAGGCCACCAAGGACATGGATATTAGACGGTTTACCAGCATAAAGCTAAAGTGCATTTTCCCAGGAAACATGATTGAAACCCAACAGTTGATTAGATTCAAAAGCTCTCACCTTGAAAATTTGTGAAGTCAGTTGAGTTCACCACAACATCTGTAGTCTCATTAACAATGTCACCAAAAACCACTTCTAGTTCAACCCCACCTCGGACTTTCACAGTTATGTCAGTTAGGTCACTCTTGAGGGACTTGAAGGTGGCTGAAAAGACGAACACGACAACAAGATTCACATTTCTGATATCAACCTCCATGTCACTTGTTGAATCGTAGAAACAGTTAAATATTTGTTAAAAACACAACATTTTAAAGGTAGATTTTTGTCTGAATCAAAACAGTTCAACCAGCTCTGGTTTTACCTTGACCGCTCTGCTTGATCTTCAAGCTCAGCTGTCTGTAGACCTCATGGTAGCACTGTAGATACATGTTTGGTTTAAGCACCACCTTGCCAGAAATGTTTCTACAAACAATGCACAGTACTTAAAACTAAGAACAAACCCAAACTTGCCCTTACTTTGGTAACAAGTCCTGAGATTCTCTGGTTCTAACTAATGTCAAATGACATATCCTCTGTGTTGTGATCATTATCATCTGTGCTTTATGTTGCAATATTTACAAGAAAAACACAATAAACAGATGATCATACATGAGAAAGAGCTCGGAGATGGCAGAAGGGAGATGCTCCCTTTTAACAGAGATACAGCCTTAGCAGAAACATGCTTATGTACTGTAATTGCATTCATTTTTACTCCAGTAGCTCGGGTGGTACTGTCTAAACACATTCATTCCTACCCATATTACTATCACTCTCAGCAGGGAGTAATATGTATTTAATACAATGTAATATAGTAATACTATGACCTGCTACTGCAGTAACTGATAGTGGAAAATAAATTTTTTTTAAAAAAGGGTTGTTTTATACAGCTATCGAAAAAGATCAAACGCTGTCACCTCCTCAGAGTCTTGATAGTCTGGTTTAATGACAATATAGATGTTGTGAAGAGATTCACATGACCCAGATAATCCAAACTGGTCAATGCTGTCAGTCAGCACTTGAATGGCTTCTTTCTGGGAATATTTCAGAACTACCCCGGGTCCAATGATCGGAAAGGCAATGGAACACCAGCCTTCCTCTACACAGAGTTCCAAACACCTTTTTAGCCCAATAGCAAGTGTCTGCAAAGGAGAAAACAGGAAAAATGTGTCTATGCGTTGGTCTCAGGGGTAAGGGTTTACCATTTCCATTTACTGGTTTCTGATTGTGTTTTTCTTACATGTTTATGAATTTACTGTGTTTTTACTTTACCTGTATGCTGAGGCCATCAACTCCATCCCATGGCAGACACTCAATGAAGAAGATCTTAGAGCAGCTCAGAGCTGGAGGTGCATCAACCACCATAACATTACCAGCAGAAAGGGTCCACTTCCGAGCTATCAGATTAAAGACCTTCTGCAATGGATTTCCTGCTTTTTTCAGTAGACATTTACCAACTTTAGTGGAAGTAAGCTTTTTGGATACCATGGGGGCCACCACCACATTCACCTGTAGAAATTATGTGAAATAATACTAACATGTGGGACACATGCTGCTTGAATAGAAATTGTGAAATTGTTTAGAATATATTTGTATAACCTGTTCATCTTCCAAAGTGCTAAGCTTGATCTCCAGGTTTGTTTTGTTAACAGCTGTTGTGTTTGGTGTACTTCTGGCAGTGTTGCTTTCCAGTCTGTCTGGGTTGGAGCTGATGACGTTAATGTATAGTGGCTCTGGGTAAAGATCAAACACACTTGTGGTACTTTGAGAATAGACTTCTTGTTGTTCCCTGATGATGACCTGACAGGATTTCTCCAACAGCTCTTTGTTTTGTCTGCCTTCTTCCTGGAAGTACAATTGCGCCCCCGGTCCATTTAACACCACCGTATCAGTTGACAGCTGCACTAGACTTGTGGCTAAGTCTGTCTGAACTTTCTGAACCAGAGAACGAGGACCCTTCACAAGTACACAGGGATGTGGAACATGTGAGGCTTTCAAGGTCACATTAGATTGCTTCATGCCAATCAGGTCTAACAATTTATCGAAGCAGTCAACCAGTTCAGGATGTGGCAAGTTTACCACTTCTTGAATATCAACTTCATTCTTTTGGAAACCATGAAGGACCTCATTGAGCTTGTTAACATCCTCACTGTAGCCCACCAGTCTTACTTTAGTTATTGCAGTTCCAGTAACTCCTGGCATGAAGCTCACATCCACCCTTAGCTCACTAATGTTTGCTTCTTTCTTCGCTTTCATCAGGATTTCCCTCACTCTGTCTAAATCTGGAGGTACTGCTGCAGCTCCCTGCAGTTTTACAGTGGTCACTTTGAGCTCTCTTGTCACTGCTGCCTCGGCCTCATTCAGAGCATCAGAGGACAAACTGGACAGAACCAGATCTGAACACACCTCAAAGAAAACAGGGTTTCTGAGGCTCTGCTGGAAACAAGCTTGGTATTTGGAGATGGCTCCACTGGTTTTGATGAAGGTTAGCAGAGCTGGGGGGAACTTGACTCTTTTTTCCTTTATGTTCTTAATCAGTTCATCTAGTTTTGCAGCTCCTGACTGCAAATCTGTGTCAGGGCCCTCCAAAGTGATTGTGGCACTACCTCTGACGACTTTAACATCTGGATAGTTAGCGAACATTTCTTGATTGAACTCTTCTTCTATGAGCCTGTACTGCTTCTCCACAATTGGCAGCTCCTTTTTGGTGTATTGAATGTTTTCCAGATCTGCAATCTTCTCCTTCACAGCACGGACCTCTCCCACAACCACAGCATAGCCATTCTCATTGTACACTTTGATATCATCTATCTTAATGGAGGAGTCTTGCAGCAGCATCTTGATCTTTTTTGGCTCAAATACATGATAGCAGAGGTAGTTCTCATTGAAACGGCTGAAAATCTGATCCAGCTGTTGCTCCTGTTTCTCTGCAGGGCATTCTCCTGGCTGACTCTGACTGTCACCTCTAACTACAACATTTTCATCATCAAATTTTAATTCCACCGTGCAGCTGATATAAGAGAGCTGCTTCTGGAGAATTTTTAATGCCTTGGGTTTATCTCTCAGATAATACAGGAGGAAAATATCTATGTTAAATGTCCTCTCCAGATGTTTTGGGATCACTTTTGTTGGTGCCTGAGAAAGAACCAAAAAAAGCACATTTATCAGGTTATGCTTGAAAACCAATAAGAATTCTACATTTAAAAAACACATAAACATAAGAGATAAGCTTACATGGACTGAGTGTTATTGACAAAATTGGTTGTTCTTTTTCAAATGTCTATCTAAGTTATAGGTGAATGTAAGTTATCTTAGTTTATAGAAGGCTTCCACTTTCTAAAATGCTTTGGTTCTGGCAGTAGCGGTTTTAGATACGGGCGACACGGGCGGTTGCCCGGGGCGGAATCGTGGTGGGGGGCGGCATCACGGGCATCGGCAAAACAAAAAGTAAAAAAATGCTCGTATTTATGCTGCCCCGACGTCATGCCAGCGCATATTGGGAATGGCACAGGCACTGATCGGTTTTCTATCGCCCATTTGCTGGGAGTAAGTGCGCCCTCCGTTTGCGAGGTGCGCCTGCTGCTTGCGGCACTAGGTGGAGAGGGCGGGGCTGCGGGCGATTCTCTGGCTGGCTGGAGCAGCATCTTATAACCAACTCGCCAAATAAAACAAAATAAAAACAAACCAACAAACAGAAAAACATCAGACAACATGATACAGACTTATAATTTGCACCAATGTTTTTTCGAAATTCTTTACACAAAAAGTGAGCGCGAGAGCCCTCGGTGCGCCTGCTCGCTGCTGAAGATAAGTAAACTTTATTGTCATCTCCGCTACATACAGTCCAGTATATAGAGAGACGAGACGACGAGGCTCCAGTTACAGCAGTGCAAGTAAACAAACAATAAAAATAAGGAGAGTAAGAAAATAAATATACACTTTAGGACTAGAGGTAAAGGGATCAATAACAATTTAAAATTTACAGTTTGATGATTTAAAGTCTCACACACAACCCGTCGAAAGGGGGCCGGCTGCTTCCAAATAGAGCACATTTCATTTATAATGTTGTAAATCCAAGCCCATTATGTATTCATGATTTGAATCCTGGGTTGTGTGAAATCTCAGAAATGCACCCTAGACAAAGTGAATCTGTGAACTAAGGTGTAGGTGTGTTAGATCATGTTGTGGTGATCCTCGAGTTGAGGAAGGGGTGTTCATACTGGAGTGCAAAATTAAAACCAATGGAAGATGGACAAGAAAAGTTCAAAGCCGTCAGGTCCTCAGTTTAGAAAAAAGAGAAAAGAAGAGCAGGAGAAACGAGCAAAAGATACAGGCAAGCAGATGTGTGATTGGAAAATGGCAGGTCATCCTGAAACAATCAGAATCAGAATACTTTATTAATCCCTAAGGAAATTATGTGCGTTACAGTTGGTCCAAGAAGAAATGGTAAAAATAGCAACAGTAACAGACTAAACTCTAAACAATACATTATGTTACAGATTTTAATATTAATTAGTCATTGTCAATTGTTGATTTGTCCTGTTCTCTTTGTATGACGAATTATGATGGCTGTTTGGTAGCCGTTTGTATACAATGCATACTCTCTCTCCTCATATGTGTGTGTGTGTGTGTACAACAGCTTTATGTTAATGTCCTTAATATGTTTTGACCGCCACTGGGTTCTGGTAAAATAGGGTCTGCAGATTCACTAACTGTGAAAGTTTAGGCCAATGATTAAAAGCAGTTTGGTCAGTAGCAGATGACAGGTTTTTTTGTTGTTTTTTGACAGTTTTATTTTATTTTTGTTATTTATTTCCATTTTTACAAATCAGCAAGTCAACATATGTGGATACTAACTGTACTAAGTACAATTAGTACAAATATTGCTGATCTACAGAAATTTTCCTGCGCAATAGTCTCTGATAGGAAGGCAACAATAACTCAAATAATTTGTCACAACTAAAGTATGCAAAAGAGCATCTCCGAATACACAACACGTCACTTGAAGCAGATGGGGTAAACCAGCAGGAGACTGCACCGAGTGCCACTCCTGTCAGCTAAGAGCAGGAAACTGACATGATATGTGAAGGCAAATCGCGTGGATTGTTTATGTGAGGACCGAAACGCAGAGCACAGAGAGATGGGAACTGGAATTTAACTGAAACCGTGCCGTGGATTTATTTAGGCAGATATTCTGAACGAGAAAAACATAAATTATAAACTAAACAGCGGATTGATTGCCTGAACTGGGGAAATTAAGAAAACAAGACAATTACCCATTACTAGAAAAGCCTGGTTAAACCTCGTAAACTTGGGAGGGAACACAGAAGAGCCATGGGGGAAAAAACAGACGCGACAATAAAGGTTGAGGGAAAACTCACACAATATATACAGACAGGAGGTTTCCAGGGGAAGTGGAAACACACGAGGAACACAGCTGATACAAACGAACATGACACCAGGAAACAAAACTAAACACACTGCTCATAGACCACGAGATTGTCAAAATAAAATGGGGAAAAGGGCAGACTAAGACACCCTGACTTAACAAGGGAACAGGGCAGTGAGAATGGGAGACGAGATGTGGATATAACTAAGGAGCACATACAGAGGACAAGATGGGCTGGGGAGAACACATGAACACATAAACAGAGAGACACCGAGAGGAGCACAGAGAACAAAGACTCAAGGGAACCTAATAAAACGTAACTAAACTGATCATAAGTAAACTCAGAGATGTAATGAGAGTACATGTTTCCCAGCTGTGCTGAGTCGTGCTGAGTCGTTATCTTAGTGTTGGATAAAACTGCATTTCTATTAATCAGACATGGCTCATGTTTGGATTTTGCTTTGGGTGCCTTTTTTGAATGCATGCACCTTTCAGGAATCCACCCAAACTGGTCATGTCAGATTACCTGACAGTACATAGTGCAATGTTTCCTTAGGAAAAAGAAAACTCACCTGTGACTGACTGGTCGCTGACTGATTGAGGGTCTGTGGAGGTAAACTTGTTTGGCTCACTGTTAAATACTGTTTTCCACCAGAAATAGAGATGGCATGAAACTTTCTCAGCAAAACCCGCTCCTGAACTGTCAAAACAGCTAAATTCAGTCACCACATGTCACGGACAAAAGCTTACATTTAAAAATGTAACTGCAAGAATGAAAGAAACAAAGTATTGCAAGCAAGTTAGGGCAGCATATTGTTCTTTAGCTTTTTTAGGTCTTCTAATATTCAGTTAAGATTGTGAACATCATTCAACATGATTATATGCAGGCCTGTGAATATGGACATGGTCACAGAGATATTAGCATGAGTTTAAACTGTTTACACGTAGTCTTGTTTACATAAATAAAAAAAAATACCTTCTTTGTCCTTGAAACAGATTTTATAGGTGTTGCCTTCAACCTCTGCAGGAATTCCACACTCACCACCTCCAGAGTCTTCTCCTCTCTGAAAGTATCTCCAAATATCCTGAATATCATTGCCAGAGAGACCTTTGGCTTCAAAAAACAGGGGATATGTGTATTTATCCATTTTCCCTAATATTCTAAACTAAAAGGAGAAATTTGGATACAGTTAACACCCTTTTGTGTCACTGCTTTGTGTGAAAATGCGCACTGAAACCCTTTTTCATCGTCTACTTTCAGTAGAGTTCCTCCTCCTTTCATTTACAAGTAGACACACCTAATGTTAACCTTAAAGGGTATACAAATCGGCACCGCATTGCAATAAACTTGAGTCACTCTGTGCCGATGAGCTCAACCTGTCTGTTTGCAACAGGTGACTGAACTGGCTGCCAGCTGCTTGAATTTAGTAATATTTCTATAGAAAAGAACTCTATGAAGTTCTTGTTGGAGTGAACAATATTTTAAAGGTAAATTTCTGTGTATATAGATTACAACAAATTTGCAATTAT